TGTTATAATATTGAAGAAAAGCGAAATGTTCATTTCCAAACTATTTCATGGCGGTAAGGCGAAAACCCTCAAGCGAATATTTACTGCGGATCCTATGGCTAATTTCAACCGAGTATGCTTGTTATTCAAACCCTCGCCGTAATTTAAGCTCTATAAAACATTGCTAATTTTAGCGTATTTCTCTTTTTTATTACCTTTACGACCGGAAGTAATTTTAGTGCAGAATAAAAGATTGTTATCGTCAGATGTTGAAGCCGAATCAGCGCGGTTTTTATGTTATGCTAAAAGGTGCAGTCTCCGATGCATTTTAGTAAATAAAACTGGTTAAGTCGGTGTTACTTTCATTCTTGTTCTATGCAACGATCTGGACACTATGTATGTGGAGCTCGGGGGTGGTTCTTCAAAGGAATACAAACTTTCGGTTTCCATGTTGGGTTGGTCATAATAAGTATCCTTTGTCGTGGACTGGGAGATCCATGGCTATTCTGGAGCCAAAATCTACTACATCAAACAGATCCTACAGAAATACATGGGACCTGTGTTCCGAGGAAATGATTATACACAGGGAGAAACTGTACCAAGGATAGACGAGCAGATGCTAGATCTGCTCGCGGTGGCTAGAGCAATTTTCCTAACAACCAAGCTCTTCACCACACAGAGCCCCACTTCTTCCCGATTCCGACTAGACAACCAGATCGCACCAAAACATAAACAGCTACAACGAATAATGGACGGTGTTATGCAAATGTGATTTAACCCAAAATTTAAAGTTTTTAGAAAACACCGAAAATAGAAAATAAAAGTCATTCAAATAAAGAAAAAAACTTCCAGAAAACTTTTATTACTTTAACATTATAAAATACAATATAGGGCTAAAATGTACTAAAATAATAGTTGAAATATGAAATAGTAACCATGGCAACGCATGAAATGTGATTAGGTCATTTTTGCGTAACCAAAATAAACTTAATTTGCCTGAAAATGATACAACTGATTAAAGTAATTATTCATCACTAACTCCAATTCAAAGTCTATGATTCCATTAAAGGACAATATTGGTGTCAGTCATTATAATGTGATAGAGCTCGTTAAATATATCCCAAATATAATTTTAACACAGAGATCACGTGGCCTGAACCTATTTATATCTCAGCGACCTCGACGAAAATTTGGTTGAACTAGCCCGAAGTTCTAGAGGTAAGTTATCTTCGCGATTAACAAGCCGTCGAACAGCTCAACACTTTGATTTGAAATTTTCACATAACTATATCGCCCCGCTCACAACAACTTTCGATGGAGAGAGAAATGGGGTTTAACGTCCACTCGACACAAACTAGGTCATTTCGGGACTAACATGTGGTTTAATTTTATTTCAATAATTCGCTTGCGCGTAGGGGTCTTTAGCAGTGGGAGGAAACCGGAGGATCCGGAGAAAACCCACGAGGTTGGACAGGCGACCCAACTCCTTGTCACGTACAACCGGGGATTCGAAACCACGCCAGTCGACTCAATGACAGACTTTATGATACAGCGCGCGCACGCTAACCATTCAGCCATCCAACCCCCCAACTTTCGATGGCCTACACTACATAAAGATCTGACAAGTTGTAGCGATAGGTCACGTCAAAGGTTATACGAGCTGCTTTTGACTTATGACGTCAGACATTTGATTACCCAATCAGCATTGATGTTTCTAGTGGATTACCCACAGTTCCGTGCAAAACACGCCTAAAGCTCCCTGTAACAGACCGTTTCATTGGGTAATCCCTCATGCCATCCAGAACACGTCAATGATAACAACTCTTCCAGATCCTAGTGATGTAAAGACAAGTAAAACGAAATTTTGAACTATAAAAAACGAAACGAAATAGGGTCTGTTTAATCAGATTCGCGAGGAATTATCCCAATATATTTTTACCAGCCATGTTTGTCACGTAATTTGATTGGGGGAGGGCATTGACATCATGACATTTCCACCCGACACCCCAACAACCCGACATTTTAACCGGACATATTTCTCTCAATACTGTGATTATGTACACTGATCCTGGTGTTGGCCAAGAAAGTTCCCTGGAATTTTGCAGCGTGGACTGTCCCTATCAGTAGTGCAGAGTACAGGGCCTGGCAAAGAACAGTGTCTAGTTGTGTAGATGGTACAAAAAAACATAGTTCACTTTTTTAAAAACTTGTTTGTTTTTTAAAAAGAGAGAGAGAGAAATGGGGTTTAACGTACACTCGACACAAACTAGGTCATTTCGGGACTAACATATGGTTTAATTTTATTTCAATAATTCGCTTGAGCGTAGGGGTCTTTAGCAGTGGGAGGAAACCGGAGGACGCGGAGAAAACCCACGAGGTTGGACAGGCAACCCTACTCCTTGTCACGTACAACCGGGGATTCGAAACCACGCCAGTTGACTCAATGACAGGCCTTATGTTACAGCGCGCGCACGTGCTAACCATTCGGCCATCCAATCCCCCTTGTTTTTTAAAGAAGCATTATATAAAATTAAAGGAGGCATGTCTCTAACTCAATAGTATTCACAGTCTTCAAGATTGCAAACACGACTTATTGGTCAATTTAAATCAACATTGATGTGTGACACCATCCTGGTCACGGATGATCAACTAACTCTGGAACACTTTCTTGTTTAACTATTTTTTTTTATAACTTTATAACATCCATAATACAACGGTTATATACAGGAAACTACACACACAGCTATGTCATTAAATATAAGCTAAATATAAGTTCTCTATCCCCTAGCTTGTGTTTTGCGGTGGTGTTTCCCAGCCTCTCAGCCAAGGGGGCTGTGGGATCGTCCCTTTGAGAATACGAAATGATGCCCAACCCGCACGTTCTTTATTTTGTTATCTTACTGTGAAAAGTTGGGCTTCTGATATCCAATATTTAAGACAAAATACAAAATTAAAATTGGTACACGAATCGTGTACCAGAATGTTTTCGAGTGCAAGTTGTATGAAACGGCTCGATGATTGAGGCTAAACATATCCCATGTAGGAGAATACTATCTGTGTAGACTGGAACAATTAGACACCAAAGACTGCCATCCAATTCAGTCTGTTCGCGTATTTCCCCGAACATAACTGATTAAAATTACAGTAAAAACAAACCAGCGGCTGCCAGGCAGGATACGCCCACATTTTCGAAAGATGGATAGAGAACAAGCTAAAAAGAAAGTGATTTTTCCTTCAATCAAGGGCCATAATTCAGGAAGCTACGATTTGATATGCGCAAATATCGAAGGAAACCATGATCTTTGGGTTATAATCATGTATGTCAAGTTTCATCAAAATCAGATTAAAATTGTGACCTCTACAGGGTCCACAACCTTGATATACCATACTCTTACACTATTCGCGTACAAAAGGCGGCCACTTTGTTCGGCAATTTTAGTCAGATGTTCACGAAATTCGAACTGACCCTTCATTACAGTGTAACGGTGATATAATCAAGCGGTTTTTTTTTTAATCGGATAATAATTGCGACCTCCAGAGGGACCACCAGCTAAAAAAGGCGATTTTTCGGACAATAAGGGGCCATAATTCAGGAAGTTACGATCCGATGGGCGCAAAGATCTTTGGGTTATAAATATGCATGTCATGTTTCCTCAAAATCGGTTCAGAATTGTGACCTCTATAGGGTCCACAAGCTAAAAACGTGATTTTTCGTACAATCCATCCATGAAGTTTCCATCAGATACATGCCACTATCGAAAGCAGCCGAGATCTTTTGGAGATAAACCTATATTTCCAGTTTTGTCAAAATCGAAAAAGAATTGTGACCTGTAGAGAGTCCACAAACAATTGTGGACGGACGGACAGAGGCGACGATAATATACGTCCACATGAAAATGTGGGCGTATAAAAACAGAAATGATTATTATTATATACGTTGCGACCCATTTGTGTCCATTTCTAGCGATTTAGCTCCTTTAATATCAAGCGTCAGCCGTTCTTGCAATACTAGTTCAAAAATAGACGATGAGAAATGAAAATATTGAGAATTTCAGTCAAAGTTATAAGTGTTTGAAGTTTTAACAAGATAGACCCGATAGTCGAGTACCATTGTTATTATAATAAACATAGTTTAGTTTATCCATTTTATCATTAAATTTCAAAAGGTGAAACGGTTCTAATCCATTAAATATCGAAGACATCAGATGGACTTGGGAGTTGATTATGGACTTGTCATGTGAATAAACGTCTTAATATTAATTTATATAACATTTGAAGCCTGTAAGAAGACCTGTGATAGGCAGATTTAGCTCTCTCATAATGTATTTTTAAATATGGTCCAGAAATTACAGACAGGACACCCAATGTTTATATTTGTACTCCATGGTGCTAGCGTCATATGGGGTCTAATCTACGATGGCCCATATACTACTTTTAAACATTTTGTAGTTTTGTTGGGTTTTTTTTTTTTTTTTTTTTAGTTTTAGGTTTGTTTTCTTAGTTCTCAGCTAGGTGAAAACCAAAACATTATTTGTTCGCTATACAGTTACGTTAAGTACCATCAGGATAAATATATTTAAATATAAAGTCATGTTGTTAATCGATGGATTGACTGAAGCTTAAGGTCGCACTCAACTCAACGGCTGCCTTGTAAGGTTCCATATAAGCGAAATAATATTGAGCGCATAAACATTAATCAATCAAATTGTTTTATGTATTTTTTTTATTTCAAATATCGTTTGTTTTCGGGCAGCATCGGTCACTTTTGCTGATTGACATACTTTTCTTGTTTTTCAGAATGTTGTCATACTCGTGATCACTTTCTGTGTAGTTAATTTGCGCTCTTCTTTGGAATCGCCCTGTTTGTACACATAAAAACGAGACCTATTAGTAACACGTGAGTTCCCACCTAGGTGAAAACGTTATCACCGAGGTGAAAACGTTATCACCTAGGTGAAATCGTTTCCACCGAGGTGAAAAGGTTTCCATCTAGGTGAGAACTAAAAAAAAACACACCTAAAACTAAAAAACAAAACCCAAAATTACAAAATATTTATAAGTCGTATTTGGGCCACCGTAGCCACCGTACTAATCACATCGTTCTTTTCTATTCTCTGCTCTCTTGTTTTTGCAAACAGTTTTTGGTTTAATCAACAATATTATTTGATTAACGATGACATTTCTCATAGCCATTTCAGAGCTACAAATTAGGATAACTTTGGCCCTAAACATAAAAATAGTTCACTGTATTGGGCTCGCTTTGGCTTTAAATATGGTCCGGAGATTATAGGTAGGACACCTAATGTTTATAATTTTATTCCATGGTTCTAAAACCAAACGGGGTCTCACCACTCGTGTTCTCTTTTGTTTTTGCGGAAAGTTCGTTTTAACCGGAATCAGCCATCCATAACCACAATTTGACGAAGATCGCCGCAAACTAAAGGGTTGTTTGAGACGGAGTCAAACTTATTTTCACGGTCTATGTCGTAATACTATCTCCAGTATCGGAAACCAATCTATACACGTCTAAGAAATACACCTTTTCCCAGATTACTTTTTATTGAAAAACAAGATTTTTCTTAGTGCTAATCGAAATTTTGTCCCCATGGTACAGCAAATACAGAAATTAAAAGCACTGGTAGTATATAAAATCTGGATTAGTATTGTATCGAGAATGTTTATGTATCTAAGCAGGAAATGGAACGAGTGTGACGTACCATAGATAGTAAGGAGAAGAAACACTTGAAATATAGTATGTGGTATTTCACAAATGAGAAACGCTATCAATATAGCAATTAATAATAGAGTTGTTTGGTGAGATTCATTTTTCCGACTACTAAGTTGTTGACTCATGGCTTCTCTCGACTTTGCCGCGGACTTGATGGTATAAACCAATTTACACGTAATCAACAACATGCCAACACAAGGAATAATTTGAACAAAAATAATCTCCAGGATAGTTTGTATATACAAATAACTTTGCTTCATTACTATCAAACATAACGTAAAATAATCTTCCTTCTCTTCGTCGTTCCAAAACGCCACAAGGACTATTTTCGTCATAAAGAATTCAGATACAAACCCAAAAAAAGAAATAGCAAAAACAATAATAACAACTCGAATACCAATCTTATAGCGACACCAAATTTTAGCTTTAATTGGGTGGCAAACTGAAATGTAGCGAAGGACACCCAGATACAGCGTTAACCACACTGATGACGTATTCAACATCCGGGTAACAATTATGAATGGCAGACCGAAATACACACACCAGTGGTAAGGCGTGTAGCTCTTGAAATAGGGAACACAAATATACAGAGACACTGGTAAAGAAAGCAAGGCACGTGATAAATCAGCTACAGCGATGGCTGACAACACAAATGACGTCACAGATCGCATTTCCTTCCTCTGTAAAACGATTAGAAATAAAATGTTTAATATAATCACTGTTATACAGATAATGGCATTGAGAGGACCATCAAGTATCCAAAATGTAGAATTGTTTTTCGCACGCACCCAGAAGTTTTCGACTTGTCCCGTGTGGTAAAGTTCACCAATCAATGTTTTATTTTCCATAGTTGTATTTTCCATGGCTGAAATAACGTCGAACTCTGAATGGAATATCAGTCCCAAAATGGTTCAGTTCTTTACAGTATTTACAAAAATATATGAGCTTAAATAATCCCAACATTCGGCATCCTCTAATCTGCAGACGAGTGTTTTACAGGGTTACTTGACATAACGAGATACACGAAATTAGCCAATCAAGTAGGCTATGAATCATATATGGAAGGGAAGTGCTGCCAATATTAAATACTCTTCCAAAAATCCTTTCCCAGTTGCAAAACTTTTTTGTCGAGTTGTGATTGAGGCGACAGACAGTCAGACAGTGCGAATAGCTTTGCGTTGTTCATTTACTGCCTTCGTTTCTATAACCAGAAGGCGATGACAACAAGTGATTTCATTTTGCTTCACGGTTTATATCAAGAATGCGCAGTCCTAGAGAAATCTAGATTTGAAGCTTAAAGTACAATATTGGTGTCGATGAGGGAAAACTTAATATTCAGCGGTATACCAAAAAGAGCTGAGACGGAAGATACTGAAGAAATTATCCCCCAGTTCATGGACATCAATATGCAAATAATTCCACCTATATCATTTCATCGGAAAAAAATTCAAGTGTTAGGCGAAAACGAACACCCACTTTACAATACAAGACCCATTGTCTGTCGCGTCAAGAAATTTAAAGACCGGGAGCTAGTTCGGAATGCGGCCCGTAATTTGAAGGGCACCAAATTCGGTGTAAATGAGCAGTTTCCTAGGGAAACCAACGATAGGCGCCATTCACTTTGACCGTACTTTTAAAGGTCAGAAGAAAAAAGCACACTTCAAGCGTGATAAACTCTTTATTGAAGATGTAGAATTTCTTCCACCAGTAAATGCTGGGACGAGAATGAAAATCGATGAAAGACCACAGCATATACTCCAAGGGGCTCGACCAAAACAATTTGGAAATACCCGACGTGCGCCACGTAAATAGCCTTTGCAAGGAGGATCTCGTCAATGTCATAATAGAGATCATTCACGTGGAACAGACTCTCACACTACCAACATAACCAGCCAGCAACCCTGATGTACAGAAAAACAATTTACAATTTCTAATTTTAAATGTTTGTGGTATGCGGTCAAAGATAATGTATCCTGAATTTAAATCTCTAATAAACAAGTATGACATCCTATGTTTTACAGAGACTAAATTAGATAATTTAGATGAAATTAATTGCGAAAATATTTTGTTTTCTATAATAAAAATCGAAAAAAAATATCCAATCACCGGTCTGGAGGTATGGCCCTTGACTTTAAAAATCACCTAGATACATAAAATACATAAAACCGATTAAAACAGAATGTCATTTTGTTTATTGGTTCAAAATTTGTGGAAAAATGCTCCATGATTTATATATTGGTATACAGATGCACACCATTGCTGCTTTAGAAGCTGCTCTTGTCCAAGAATGGAACAATTTGCCCAGGCCTTCTTTCAAACATTGGTAAATTCCATGCGACGTCGCTGCACAGCGTGCGTAAGAGCCCGTGGGGGACACACGCGCTACTGACATCTGTGTCGTACTTTTGGTTTTGACCCCTCTGACTTTGTACCGTTGATTACAGATTAAACATCCATAAGTGTACAAATGTGTTGTTATTGATGTGTTCCCATTTGAATATTGTTCACAACAAGAAGCAAAATAAATAAGATATGTTTACAGGATCATTTTGTTATACGAAAAACTAAGTGATGCGTTTTCCATGGCACTCAGTATATATTTTTTTTCTTTAATCCACACAAAACAAGGACTATTACCTTCTCAAGAAAATTAAACCACACTCTTAACACTATTTGCTGTGCTGGAGCTGCGTTAACTGATAGCAAAGAACACAAGAATTGGTAATTGTAAAAGGGCCGTTCCTACTAATTATTCCGTTATAAAAGTACTGATTTGTTTCAGAAGTTTAAAATATCGTTTAAACAGAAGGTCCTTAGAATCAATATACTGAGCTTTGATGTCGCTGTTATTATGTAGACGTAATCCGAAATGAGTGTACTAAAACAAAGGTACTGTACCTTGAAAACGTAAGTATTTTTGATGGCCTTAGAACAATCACTGGATTACTGAGAGCTACATCTTATAACCTACCGTAAATTGCATCAGGGTTCACTTCGATTGAAATTAGACGGTAGCCCCATAAACTAACACCGTTTTACAAAATGGTGAATTTGGAAATTCTCGTTCTCAATTGTGGAAATCACTTTTTTATTTGGACATTTATTGTTTTAATGAAAGAATTTCTATTTATTGTTTTTTTTATTTTGGGGAATATTTTACACTTCTTGCCAAAATATTTTAGACAAATGAAATTTTGAAATTGTCGAACCTTTGAAAACTGGTAGATGTTATTTAAATTTGACACGCCCCGCCCCGCCTCACACACACACACACACACACACACACACACACACACACCCGCCTCTCACATGCACACACACACACACACACGCGACCACACGCCATCACAGACTTTAACAACAGCACGAATAATATATTTTCATGTTGTTTATTACAAAATGTATATATTTCCCCCACAGTCTTTTATTTTAAAAAAATATGTATACAACATTACTCTTTTTTCTCCTCAAAAATTAGTGATTAGAACGCTCCGTTACTCATGTCATTGTTTTTGTCTTTATGTATTTTCATTATCTATTTGAACTCCTGAAACACGTAACTTATTTTTTCTTGAAATATCACAAGTAAATGATATAGCCGTGTGTGAAACTATCATATCCTTTAGTTTCGAGTAATATTCATTTTGAGCTTTTTTTAAAGCATCCCCGTGAAAAAATATTATCTAAAATACTTAATCATTCGATATTCTATTAATTTGAAGAGAAAAAAACACACCCCAAAAAATGTTTAGGAAGCAAATTTTTTAGCGTTAATATCCCCGTGAATAATATTATCTAAAATACTAAATCATTCGATTTACCGTATATTCCCAAAACCTGTAAGAAATAAATTTGTTAATTATCATCCTAGTTTATAAATGAAATGTGTTCATTTTATTGTATTTCATACTTGGTCATTTTTGAGTAGCATCAGATTTCTCCGATATTAAATAGATTAGAACGGTTCAGCCATAATTTAATTTAAAAATGGAGGTCGGTGGTTGCAATTATTGCACACGTCTTGTCAAACCTTCAAAGCCTAATATCTTCGCTCACAATATAGTAATTAGAATGAAATTTCAAATTATTCCTTTTATATTGTCTATTTTCGAACTATTGCAGCAAGAATGGCTGGTGCGCGGAAAAAAAGTCACAGGAAAAAAGGTCACAGTAAAAAAGTCACAAATTTGCCTAGGTAAAAAAAAACACAGGAAAAAAAGTCACAGTTTTTTATTACATCTCAAATTCAATAACAATATAAACAATAACATACATATTTAACCTTTCATTACACATATGTTCATTACACAGATGAACCAGACTGTTTTAGTCTTTAGAAATCAGCACATTTTGATATCATAGCACATTTGACGTATTAGCACATATGGCATATCAGAACATCTGACATTTTAATACATTATAGCACATTTGACTTATCAGTACATCAGACATTTTAGCACATTCTAGCTCATTCAACATTCTAGCACATCAATACTCTATGTTAATTCTAATGTTCCATCCAACTCCATGTAATAATTCTGGGATGGATTTGGCACAAGGGGCATGTTGTTGGTACAGGGGGCACTGTTCATGGTTGCGTCATGTACGTTCCAAACTTCAGGAGGGAACATGGGGGGGGGGGGTCAAAGAGCCAATCTGTTTGTATAGTGTTTGCAGCAAGGTAATGTAGAGTAACCACTCTATTAACCAAACCTAATTAACTCAAAGACAAATAACTTAAAAGATCAAAGATATACTCACTCTACAATACAATATATATATAAGTTGTGACTTTTTTTACCTGTGTTTTTTTTACTGTGTTTTTTTTACTGTGACTTTTTTACCTGTGACTTGTTTTCCTAGATTCTAATGGCTAGCTCTTTATCTAAATCTTACATAATGTATCTTTAAGTTAAAGGTTCAAACATGAATTTATAGATAAATGTTACAAGTTCTTTACATGAAATTTTTATAATAATCTACTGGAAATATACATAACAGGGATAAAGCGTAACGTTTCCATGATACAATAACCATGTAATTGAACAGACAACACTTCAAAATTCATACGTTCATGAAATAAAATCTTACCAATCGGCGTATAGATACGATGAGCATTCATTAAAAACATAGAGAATATAAAATATTTGACTGGACAAAAAGATTATGTATACAAAATATTGCAAATACGATAATATATATAATAGATTTCCATGACAATGGATTATAAATAATATTAGGTAACAGAGAGAGAGAGAGAAATGGGGTTTAACGTCCACTCGACACAAACTAGGTCATTTCGGGACTAACCTATGGTTTTAATTTTATTTACATAATTCGCTCGCGCGTAGGGCTCTTTAGCAGTGGGAGGAAACCGGAGGACCCGGAGAAAACCCACTCCTTGCCACGTACAACCGGGGATTCGAAACCACGCCAGTCGACTCAATGACAGACTTTATGATACAGCCCGCGCACGCTAACCATTCAGCCATCCAACCCCCCATATTAGGTAACGTACAACAACATATTATAAGTATATAATACATAACATGACATTAAAATATACATCGTCTTCCTGGTATAGTTTGACAATGGCCAATATAGGAATAATGAGATGAAATAAAGGTTCATAGACCAATTAAGTAATCTGGCTATAATAAAACTTAACCTTTCATTAATTTACATAATCTTCCTGGTATAATTTGATAATAGAACCAATCAGAAGTGAAGAGATTAATAGATCAATTATGTAATATGGCTGTAAACTTGTTTATATCCACCTAATATTATAGAGAAATAAAGATATACAGGGTTTAAAATCCCCATAAATAGTGTCGAAGTAAAAAGTGTAAAAACATATATTAGCGATGTTTTTGTTCATGTGCTTTTTTGATAAAATAAAATGAATTCATCGATTTTCTTCACAAAAATGGATAAATATTATCGAATGCATCACAATGGTAGACAGTAGTATCGAAGGTTGGTACAAAATGACAAGTTTACAGAAGTTATGTCCGAGATTTGAGTAAAGAATTTTCGTTCGGCGCAAGATTCAGCGACGGCCAAATTTACCGCTTCCAATGGACCAATGCATCCAAGCGTAATATTTAATTTATGTTTAAAATTATGTTTAATTTAATTTAATTTTATATTTAATTTATGTCGGCACAAAAAGCAACGAGATTTTATTAAGAGGCCACTCCCGTTAAGCGGTCAGTTGTGAAAATTCCCTTGGGTGGCTGCTTAATGCAGATTCTACTGTATTAAGATTTTATTTAAAAATGATTAGGATATTAACACGGTGGGAAAGGGGCAAATTAAGCATTTAGATCTGGTTTGAACCGGCCAATAAAGTATGCTTCCATATCCTTCTCTTGATAGTATTGTCAATATTGACTATATAAAAAGGAAAACTACTAAATTTAATAGTTAAATTCTTGTCCAGGATGGAAAGATTTCTGTTCAGACTGAAATATTTAATAAATGCATTGTGTCCATTTTTATCCAAATTTTAATTTACATAATTGTAACGGTTTCGAGGAAAGAATATAACCAGTATGTACCAGAAGTATGGGACATAACTCTTTCAGACATCAGGACTCAGACTAGCAATTATTTGCCCTTTGACTTCAATGTTAAATGACTGTAACATCACAGGCTGTAGCTTTTTGCTCAACATTCCGTTGGTTCCAATCTTTATAGGCACAATGGGGACAACATTTGGCAATCTCCTCATCATAATTTTGTAGGGGGTTGACCGTTTAGATTTTTTGCTACACGGATTTGAAGTTGACAGGGGTGAAAATCTCACTTCCGACACAATGATTGCTCTGCAGAAAGACACTTTACACCCCCTATCCCTCCGCTGTAATATCATCAGTATTACCCAAAACTGCTATGAAATTGCAAATTTGATCCCTTTTCTCCAATTCTAGACCAAAAAGTCAACCCAAAAATGCAGGAAGAGGGGAGAAAAAAATTAAGGGAAAAATTGTCTATTTATAACTCGCACTACATTCGTCCATCATGAAATAAGGGGAAATAATTACTAGTCTTAGTCCATAAGGATGCATACCACCATTAATGTCCCCATGGAGCACATCAAACGACCAAACAAAATTTTTGTGTAGTTTTAGCCAGTGGTTTCTATATACACTGTACGGCAAGTTCACATCAATCTGATTATAATCACAAATAAAGACCTCCCGTAATAGTGATTTTGCCAATTTATTACCAAAAAACACACTTAATCCCCGCATTTATATATATTCATCACAACAATCGAAGATATAGGTCCATGTAAATAAATGAAGTATTTATCACTTTTATAAGTTCTCACAGATTCACAGTACTTTGTATGTTCTTGCAAAATTCGTAATTAATAACACGAATTCCGATGCGTAGTACTCAATTTTACTAAACGTTATAAATGTTTCCTAGCCATCAGAATTCTGCATAATCCAGAAAATGGCATTTCGGAGACCCTAGATTCAAAATTTTCTCAGGGGAGGCATACCCCCGAACCCCACTAGAAAACTCGGCTCGTGACTGTTTCGCTCGTATTAGGGGCCTGGGCATCAGACGGTCTCATTTTTGCTAAACACCCCCCACCCCGTTCCACACATCCCCAAACAAAATCGATCTGGGTGTTAAATGATACTGAGTCGGGAGTTTTTCTGCCAATATCGCCCACTGTATTGCGAAAAGTGACCGATTTCGACAGAGTACGCCATAGTGCCGCTGCCCGGGAAAAATTTCCCTCATAGAACACTGTATGGCGTATGCCCGTTTTCATTAGCCCAGTCGGGACAGAACAGTAGGACGATAAGCCCCATTTCATTTCATTTCCGACATCAATAGAGATGTTAAAGGTATACATATTCTATACATCATATCTAAAAGTTAAACGATTTCATACAAAATTGACAAAGCTGTGGATTAAGAGAAATTGACAAAAAAAGTCCGCGTTTGTCTGTGATTAATAGGACTATTTTGTCAAAATTCCCATTATCCATATTTTTTCAATTTTTTATGAAATCATACCACAATATAAATCTGTTACCACTCACTACGTCATCAAACAACATGAAATGGGGTTTAACGTCCTACTGTTTTGATCCTACTGGACTATATAATGATGTAGACGGTCGATCATACGTCATGCAGTGTGCTAAGAGGGAAATTCTGACCGGACAGCGGCGCTATATGGCCTACTCATATTCCGAATTCCAACTGTCGAGGGTTCTTTTGCGTGCACGCCTGTTCCCCGGCACCTTTCATTCATTTGAACAAGAATATGCATATCTAACATAACTTTCCTTGTTGGTTACACTTTACAATACATTTGGCGCTATTGACAAGGAAAAACCGCTCTTGAGATTAGTAAGACTGGATAATTTATCTAAATCATGGAGCCAGGGTTGGTATATTGGATCAAGCCCAGTCGAAAATATTTTTATATAATATAAACAAAAACAATTTATATGTCAAGGTTTTACCTATAAAAATATCCCCAACGATTGATTGTAACCAGTGATTACGTTTCTAGTGTAAGGAAAGATTTGTAATATATATAAGAATCTTCAATGAAAAAAATGGAATTAAACAGTTAGAAGGTTTAATGGATCCATGTGATTTAAAGCGTCGACACATGGATCCAAAATTTTCACAGTCTACAACAGAATACAATAATAATAAATAATAATAATAATAGCTTTATTTCCAATCAAGGGCCCACAGGGGACATGGTACAGAGCAAACAAAGAGAGAAAACCCAAATGACAGTCAAGTAAGAAAATATAATAGTATACATAGCTCCCAACAGGGGAGATACACATCTCTGTATATATCGATGTCATCCTTATCAGTGTGGGGGGGGGGGACTGAATGGTTAGCGTGCGCGCGCTGTAGCATAAAGTCTGTCATTGAGTCGACTGGCGTGGTTTCGAATCCCCGGTTGTACGTGACAAGGAGTAGGGTCGCCAGTCCAACCTCGTGGGTTTTCTCCGGGTCCTCCGGTTTCCTCCCACTGCTAAAGACCCCTATGCGAAAGCGAATTATTGAAATAAAATTAAAACCATATGTTAGTCCCGAAATGACCTAGTTTTAGTCGAGTGGACGTTAAACCCTTTTTTTTTTATAACTTATAACATCCATAATACAACGGTTATATACAGGAAACTACACACACAGCTGTGTCATTAAATATAAGCTAAATAAAAGTTCTCTATCCCCTAGCTTGTGTTTTCCGGTGGTGTTTCCCTGCCTCTCAGCCAAGGGGGCTGTGGGGTCGTCCCTGTGAGAATACGAAATGATGCCCAACCCGCACGTTCTTTATGTTGTTATCTTACTGTGAAAAGTTGGGCTTCTGATATCCAATATTTAAGAAAAACATTTTTTTTAAAATTGGTACACGAATCGTGTCCCAGAATGTTTTCGAGTGTCAGTTGTATGAAGCGACTCGATGATAGAGGCTGAACATATCCAATGTAGGAGAATACTATCGGTGTAGATGGAATAACCAGACGCCAAAGACTGCCATCCAATTCAGACTATTCACCGAACATAATTGACTAGAAATTACAGTAAAAACAGAAACAATTTAATGTAAATCAGTTTATATACATTCATATTACATTATTATATGCGTTGCGACCCATTTGTGTCCATTTCTAGCGATTTAGCTCCTTTAATATCAAGAGCCAGTCGTTCTTGCTATACCAGTTCAAAAATAGATAACGAGAAATGAAAATATTGAGAATTTCAGTCAAAGTTATAAGTGTTTGAAGTGTTAACAAGAAAGACCTGATAGTCGAGTACCATTGTTATCATAATAAACATAGTTTAGATTATCAATTTTATCATTAAATTTCAAAAGGTGAAAGGGTTCTAATCCATTAAATATCGAAGACACCAGATGGACTTGGGAGTTGATTATGGACTTGTCATGTGAATAAACGTCTTAATATTAATTTATATAACATTTGAAGCCTGTAGAAGACCTGTGATAGGCAGATTTAGCTCTCTCATAATGTATCTTTAAATATGGTCCAGAAATTACAGACAGGACACCCAATGTTTATATTTGTACTCCATGGTGCTAGCGTCATATGGGGTCTGATCACATCGTTCTTTTCTATTCTCTGCTCTCCTGTTTTTGCAGACAGTTTTTGGTTTAATCAACAATATTATTTGACTAACGATGCCATATATCGTAGCCATTTCAGAGCTACAAATTAGGATAAATTTGGCCCTAAACATAAAAATAGTTCACTGTATTGAGCTCGCTTTGGCTTTAAATATGGTCCGGAGATTACTGGTAGGACACCTAATGTTTATAATTTTATTCCATGGTTCTAAAACCAAACGGGGTCTCACTAGTCGTGTTTCCTTATGTTTTTGCGGACAGTTCGTTTTGACAGGGTTATTCGAGACGGAGTCAAGCCTTTTTTTCACAATCCATGTTGTAATATAATCTCCAGTGTCGGAAACATATCTTTACGCGTCTAAGAAATACACCTTTTCCCAGATTACTTTTTATTGAAAAACAAGATTTTTCTCAGTGTCAACCGAAATTTTGTCCCCATGGTACAGTAAATACAGAAATTAAAAGTACTGGTAATAAATAAAATCTGGATTAATATTGTATCGAAAATGTTTAGGTAACTCAACAGGAAATCGAACAAGTGTGACGTTTCATAGATAGTAAGGAGCGTGAACACTTGAAATATAGTATGTGGTATTTCAAATATGAGAAATGCTATCAATATGACAATTAACAATAGAGTTGATTGGCGTGATTCATTTTTCCGACTACTAAATTGTTGACTCATGGCTTCTCTCGACTTTGCTGCGGACTTGATGGTATAAACCAATTTACACGTAATCAACAACAATCCAACACATGGAATAATTTGAACAAAAATAATTTTGAGGATAATTTGTGTATAAAAATAATTGTGCCACATGTCCATCAGATCTGCCAAACATAACGAAACATTCCCCTTCTCTTCATCGTTCCACGACACCACAGGGGTGATTTTCGTCATAAAAAAATCAGTTACAAACAAAACAAGAGAAATAACAAAAATAATAGTAACAACTCGAATAACAATCTTATAGCGACACCAAAGTTTAGCTTTCATTGGATGGCAAACTGAAATGTAGCGAAGGACACCCAGATATAGCGTTAACCACACTGACGACGTATTCAACATCCGGGTAACTGTGAAAAATGGCATCTTTAAATAAACACACCAGTGGTAAGGCGTGTAGCTTTTGAAATAGGGAACACAAATATACAGAGACACTGGTACAGAAATCAGGGCACGTAATAAATCAGCTACAGCGATCGCCGACAACACAAATGACGTCACAGATCGCATTTCCTTCCTCTGTAAAACAATTAGAAATAAAACATTTAATACTATCACTGTTATGCAAATAATTGCATTTAGAGGACCATCAAGTATCCAAAATGTAGAATTGTTTTTCGCGCGCAGCCAGAATTCTATGACTTGTCCCGTGTGGTAAAGTTCACCATTCAAAGTTGTATTTTTCATAGTTGTATTTTCCATGGCTGAAATAACGCCGAATCTATGAATGGAATATCAGTCCAAAATGGTTCAGTTCTTTACAGTATTTACAAAAATATATGAGCTTAAATAATCTCAACATTCGGCATCCTCTAATCTGCAGACGAGTGTTTTACAGGGTTACTTGACATAGCGAGATACACGAAACTAGCCAATCAAGTGAGAATCATATAAACATTATGGGAGGGTAAGACTGCCAATATTAAATACTCTGCTAAACTTTTCTGTTGAGTTGTGATTGAGGCGACAGTCAGACAGTGCGAATAGCTTTGCGTTGTTCATTTCCTGCCTTCGTTTCTATAACCGGAGAAATCTAAAGTTGAAGCTTAATTAAACAATAGGATTACGTATGATATGACAGATGCAGACCGGAAACTGAACAGCAATGTAGCGAAAATAGAGCCAATTATAGAGTACTAGCAGGATACCCGGCTTCGCTCGGGGGTCATAACTCCGAAACCGGAAGTGGTAGACTAACGCCACCTGGCCTATGTTACTCCCCGGTCCGAGCTACCCCTATACCCCAAATTTCAGACTCGGGGCAGACCTAGTGTTGCTGCCAACCCCGAACAGACCGGCTTCGCACGGGGGTCATAACTCCGAAACCGGAAGTGGTAGACTAACGCCACCTGGCCTATGTTACTCCCCGGTCCGAGCTACCCCTATACCCCAAATTTCAGACTCGGGGCAGACCTAGTGTAGCCGCCAACCCCGAACAGACAGACTTCGCACGGGGGTCATAACTTCGAAACCAGAAGTGGTAGACTAACGCCACCTGGCCTATGTTACTTCCCGGTCCGAGCTACCCCTATACCCCAAATTTCAGACTCGGGACAGACCTAGTGTAGCCGCCAACCCCGAACAGACCGGCTTCGCTCGGGGGTCATAACTCCGAAACCGGAAGTGGTAGACTAACGCCACCTGGCCTATGTTACTCCCCGGTCCGAGCTACCCCTATACCCCAAATTTCAGACTCGGGGCAGATGTAGCCGCCAACCCCGAACAGACAGACTTCGCTCGGGGGTCATGAATCCGAAACCGGAAGTGGTAGTCTAACGCCTCCTGGCCTTTGTTACTCCCCGGTCCGAGCTACCCCTATACCCCAAATTTCAGACTCGGGGCAGACCTACTGTAGCCGCCAACCCCGAACAGACCGGCTTCGCTCGGGGGTCATAACTCCGAAACCAGAAGTGGTAGACTAACGCCACCTGGCCTATGTTACTCCCCGGTCCGAGCTCCCCCTATACCCCAAATTTCAGACTCAGGGCAGACCTAGTGTAGCCGCCAACCCCGAACAGACAGACAGACAGACAGACAAACGACAGTCACAAATATTAGTATAGAAGATGGTGAAGCTACAGGAGCCCAGTGAGATTTAATCAAAATATTGAGTCCAAAAGGTTTTGAGGTCTACAGCACATATTTTACCCCTAGATCATTTTGGAAAGGCAAGTCTTAAGCTTTGTAACCTGTGCATATACCTGGGAGCACTCACCATAACCCTCCCAAATTTAATTAGAGTTAAAATTCAATGTCCATCCACAATTTTCTTAAAATTTAGAGTCCATAACTGAAACGAAGCCTAAAAAGCTAGCTAACCAAGTCAGGAAACCAAAAATATACTGAGCGCCATGGAAAACGCATCACTTTTTTTCCCCAAATATTTTATTACTAGGTGGTTTTGTATGTATAATATTCACGTGCAGCATTGTGTGTGAGCCCTTTAAAAGCATGTTTTCAACTTAATGTGCAGTACCCGAACTGGGAAACGTCAATCTGTCATAATTGTCATCAGTCCACTATTGTAAGGTTGGTGGAACGTGTTCGAGTTACTAGATCAAGACGTGACCGTCAACGTCCTGGTCCACAACGCGTTACAACCCAGGCTTAAGACCGCTACATCCCTGTCACTCATCTGCGTGACAGATTCCGCCCAGCGACTCGAACAGGTGCAGCAGTCGTCGGAAGACAAGGACCAGTAAGTGCCAACACCGTAAGACGTCGTCTAATAGAAGTAGGACTCCGTGCACGACGACCTTATGTTGGAGCTATCCTCAGGGATCATCACCGTCAGCGGCGTTTGATATGGGCTCAAGGACACCAGACATGGAGAAGAGTAGTCTGGCAAAGTGTGCTCTTCAGTGATGAGAGCCGCTTTCATCTTTATCACGCTGATGGCCGTCAACGTGTGTGGAGACGTCTTGGGGAACGTCTTGCAGACTGCTGCGTCTTCAAAACGAATCGATGGGGTGGGGGAAGTGTAATGGTGTGGGGAGGCTTCACATTTCATCACCGGACCGCCCTACACATTTGCAGGGGTCGCGTTAATGCTGTAGCCTACTGTGATGATGGCCCGTGGAGGACACACGCGCTACTGACATCTGTGTCGTACTTTTGGTTTTGACCCCTCTGACTTTGTACCCTTGATTACAGATTAAACATCCATAAGTGTACACATGTGTTGTTATTGTTGTGTTCCAATTTGAATATTGTTCACAATAAGAAGCAAAATAAATAAGATATGTTTACAGGATCATTTTGTTATACGGAAAACTAAGTGAAGCGTTTTCCATGGCACTCAGTATATCAATCAAGAGCGACAAAGGCTGAACAAACTTGGCCTTAAGACTATTACAATAGTTACAAAGGTCAGATTTTGGGCCGCATTATGACGCTTGAGCGACGTGACCTTGCGTTGATTCTAACACCATTTCGTTGAGTTTTACTGCACAAAATAACTACTTAAGTGCATAAAATATTGTATCAAAAAAATGCTTAATTAAGAATAGTCGCACTCCGTAAAAACACGGAATGCAGGGGATGCTCTAAAACGTCTGTTTACCCAACACGTCACCAATATCCAAAATACTGATGTACCTACATCCTCGGTATCCCCAGTGACCACATTCCGTTCTACTCTTATAAAAACGAAGGGTGTTTCATTCGTATGACTGATTTGTAAACTGTTTTTTGATTGATTCGTAGATTTTAGCTACAATCATTGGCCAAGGCAGTTAATTGAAATTGTGGAAACCTTATGGATTAACTCAGGGTATAGTGGAGTAGAGCTGTTACATAGTGGCAAATGTTATAGACGCTTCGTGCCATCTTGACACGTGAAAGTGATTTTAATATCAACATATCAACCTGTCCGGTATCGACACCCCTGGAGGTCTTGGTAGCATTCCTTATGTCATTATGTAACCGTAACTTGTTGTTGGCATGTTTTATTTAACTGTCTTTGTCTGATAAGCAAACTCTACTGAATGTTAAACGTGATATGATACATTAGCCAGTTGTCTAATAAGATCCTTTGTCTTGAAGGGTTTTTAAACCCAGAAGGGAAACGACATCGGGAGTCAGGTCCAGGCAAGGACGCAGAGAGCGGAGGCCATGGATGCCTTGGAACGAGCCGAGACGGAACGAGAGAGAGCGTCTGGGAGTTGGCACAATGTGCCAAGCTATGACATGGCTCCCTCAATACAAGTTAGTTATGTGGCCTTTAACATTACGATGTTTGTACTTGATATGTAAGAAGCAGAAAATAAAAGTATGATATGATTTTAAACTAGTCTTGTCATCTGAACCTGATATAAAGACCCAATACTGTCACAGAACGGAATAAGGCCACTTGGGATACCAAGGATGATATTTTTTGGGACTGTTCCTACATCCATCTATACTCTGGATTTGAATTTGTGGATATGATAAGGCATGATAATCAAACCTTTGAGTACGGAGCCAGATTTGGATCAGGGAAAAATAGTATAATATATATCTACTTGTCGCTTCGCTGTGGAGAGCGCTGAATCGATGCACGTATTTACCATATCGGGATTTGGTCACTTGATTCGTAAAGGAAGAATTCGGTGATTTCATTTTTAATTGTAGGTTAACGTGCTGTACAGGATCAGTGAATCAATTCACCACAGTGGGTTAATTCATTCCGTCGTTTGAGATATAGACGTTGTCGTATAAATTTTATGATTTCTATTTAGTATTTCGGGCAAATCCATTATTTTAGAAAGTAAGGGCATACGTCACATTTCCAGAATCCATTATTGTTTGATTTATAATAAAAAGTATCAAATAATATCTTGTTTATTGTTTGTTTCATGACATAGCTGCCGCTTAATCGATCATCTGAACCATGTCCATCTACACTTTTGGAGAACTTGCCAGGATGCAGATGTTTCTGATATTATAAATTTGCTACGGTTCTACACCTTGGCGAACTAAATTGAATTACTTGCTAGAAATTTAAAGTAGCTAAGTCTCTAACTCAATATAATCCAAAATCTTCAACATTGAAAACACGATTTATTTGCCAAATTAAATCAACATTCATGTTGTGATCTTACCGGAAAAAGATGGGCTTTTGATATCCAATATTTAAGACAAAATAAACATTTTACCATTGGTACACGAATCGTGTACCATAATGCGCTTCAGTCCCAGTTGTATCAAGAGACTCGAGGGACGAGGCTAGACACATTGCACCAAATCAAACGGCGTATGTAGACTGGAATAACCAGACGCTAGAAATTTGCACTCGCTTGAGACTGCTGGCTTATTTCGCCGAACGTAACTGATTTGAAATTGGAGTAAAAACGGAAACCATTGAATGTAAATCAGTTTATATACATTCATATTACAGTATTATATGCGTTGCGACCCACTTTGCGTCAATTTCTAGGGTATCATTTACAGAGGAGGAAGCTTCTATGGGTGATACTGATGATACGTCTGATCAAGAAGGTTATCGGAGGTTCGGTGAATATCGGGAGATATCAGGACGTGCAGATGAAGAACTTATATCACCAACAGAACCAGTGAGATACACGGGCGACACGTAATAGCGCCGTAGGGGTTCATTGTCAAATTTAACGCTTCAAGGAAGGGTTGATGAAAACTGCCGCGTGCTGGTTTATCTATCCATGTTTGCTTTCCTATCGATTATTGCATAAGATTTACTGTTTAGCGTATCTTTGCTTTAGTGTGTTACGTTTAATTTGCAATGATATGTACTGCGAAATGGAGGCAAACGGCCAATCAGCATTCTGTAAACTTGTACCAAGTTACGGGAATTCGAGTTACACCCCAAACGATTAGAAATCGGCTACATGCAGCCCATTTGCATTG